CTCGCTTGGGCGCGTGCATGTACACGCCGAGGTAAAGCCCCAGGGACTGGGAGAAGGCCAGCCGCAGGCGGTGCCCGGTGCCGGCCGCGAGCCGCAGGTCCCTGCTGACGGGCACGAACTCCAGCAGATCCGCAACCATCAGGCACATCTGATCCTGCAGGAAACACAGGAGACAGCGCCACGTAACCCCACTGCGCCCCTCCAGGAGCAGCGTGGCCAGACCCTGCACAGATCCGCCCCCAAAGGGTGTGTGTAAAGCACCTGCACGTGTGCTGGAGCCGCTCTCCCCACCTCGCCTGCGCTCTCCCACCCAGCCTGAATACCACGCAGCCTCCTCCCCTCCCTCGCCACACACACATTCCAGTGCAGATGGGCCGTGAAAGCAGTTGTGCTGCTCCATTAGCTCTGGCACCAACTTTTGGAGTGAGCTGCACGCAGCCAGCAGAGGCTTTTATTAACTTTTGGTGAAAAGGAGCCGCGTTATGAAGACACTCTTGTTACCACAGCAGCAGAAAGCACATTTGGTGCGCTGCCTCTTACCTTGGGGAGCTCCCACCTGCCTGGACACTCCCCTAAGTTTGGAAATAACCCCATGCTACCCGATACACTACGTAGAGAAAACCCACCCGCTTCCAGGGTGTGACTACAAACACCCAGTGACAGATTGGACAAACTCTGCAGAAGTTCACCCAAGCAGTTTAACAGGAGGTAAGTGCCAAGGACTCAGTCTTTGCTTCTCCAGCCTCAAAACATCACCCAAGCACTGAAGGAAGGCGCTGCTCCCTGAGCCCAGGCCTCACTCACCTTGTAGGACCACATCCTGAGCTTGTGGTCCTGGCAGAGAGCAAAAACAAAGGCATCGTGATCCAGGCAGTGCACGGAGAGGCTGACGGGCAGGTCTGAGGGGCCACAGTCACCCCTGAAAGCACAGGTGTTATCGCAGCAGGTTAAAAGGAAACCAGGGCACAGCTCCAGGACATGGGTTAAACACTGTGATGGAAACCCCAGGGTTAAGAAAACCAAAAGCCAGCTGTCTGGGACCGTAAGCAAGGAGTGTTTTAGGACCACGTGGGCCAGCACAGAGGGGCCCCGATGCTGCTAACGCCCACTTCTTCAGCAGAGCTGCCACATCACCCCCAGCCCATGCCAGCAGAAGGCAGGTGAGGGACCCAGCTGGAAGCAGGGGCACGGCCAGCCCCAAGCAACGCGCCCCGATGGTCGCCGCATCACCTCCCACTAACGGGGCCCCCAAGTGTGGTTGTGCAACCCCAGAAGGAGCCCAGTCTGCGCCAACAGCAACGGGCCTGACATTTCGGAGCAAGGACGAGAACCTCCAACTGCTGTAATCCTTAATCTGCGCTGGCTGCGAGCCACGTCCTGGGCAAATCCCTCCTCAGAGGCCAATTACTCGCTATAACACGCTCGCAGACGCAACGAATCCGCAGCCCCCCATTAAGATGGGCTAATCCAGCCTTCAATTCCCAGCTTCGGCACCGCGACAGGGCCTGTGACCCAGTTAACTTTTCTGACAGCGTTCACAGATGCTGACTTACCTGCCTTTGACTTCAGCCAGAACCAATACCTACCCCTACGTGAGAAAATTAAAAGAGCTAACTCCACCCGTTTGTCCCCAAACACCAACCTGATGGCAGTCGGCATCCACCCGGTAAGGAAGCGCTGCACCACCGAGCTCTGCTTCAGTTCCACCACCGAAACCGTTCCTTGCAAAAATAAAAGCAAGACTGAGAAACAAACGCGCCGGGGGCTGGCCGACAAAATATTTGCAGAGAAGACACACGTGACAAAAATCAAACCAGAGGAGCTGGAAAAGGAAAGGCCACTTCCTTATCCACATCCTTACCTGGCACATCGTGAGGGGGCAGCTTGATGACAAAGATGCCCCCCGTTGCAGAGGGCAGCGCGAACAGAGCCTCCCCCTCGCTGCTCAGCCAGGCTGCCGAGGCCACTGAGTTGGAGGCCAGGCCCGGCACGTTGGGGATCAGGTAGTAATTGGCAGGGTCTCTGAAGTTGATTTTGCCGATATCTGTAAACACGGACTGAATCTGGCTCTCCATTAGCAGCTCCTGGAGGAGGGAAACAGAAAACAGAGTAAGCCTTGAAGGCAAACAGAAGTCACAGAGGAAACAAACCGGCACTGGCAGAACCAAAACTGCAGCACTGCTACACGACGGAAAGGATTTTTCGCACCCTGCCACTTGTCTTCCTTACTTTTAAGCCAGGACAGCTGCTCTCGGGGAGCAGCTGGGGTCTTATAACACATGGTTTCCCAGCAGAGCGGTCACTCGCTCCCTCCTCCAGCAGGGTTTTGTCCCCAGCACCACCACGCCAGGCCCAAGCACCACCAGCAGAGCTGCTCCCACCCTCAGAGCCTCATTTCCAGCGATTCCCACGGCTGCTGCCTTGCCCGCAGCTTGGGCAAGTTCGGTTCTGAGCAAAGCAGGAGGCCAACAGCTGGCTTGTCCTGTATCGGGCTGGTTTTCCAATAGCTCTCATTTCTGTGTACAGAGCTGCCATGCGCTGATCAACGCACAGGTCTACCTGGCCAGGAATTAGAGCACTTTGGTCATTCCTGATGATTGTCAATCAATTTAACTGAAAAATACCACCTTGGATATTGTTTGAGTAAAAAACTAAGCCACAGAGTTTCTCCCCCGTGAAGTCAGAAGATTTTGACAGGCTCCAGCTCCCCACCTCTAGGCACACGCAGTGGTTCCAGCCCAGGGTACAAACCCCACTCAGAAAGAAATCAATAAAAGTGCTGCAAAGGCAGCCATTCGGCACCTCCTACAAGCAGACAGATGCCCAGCCAGTTTTCGAGCAACGCCGTGACTTCCCCAAGCCCCCTCCTCTGTTTTAATTGTCGAGGAAAGCCCAGGACAGCCTGGCTCTGCCCACCCCCAGCCCACTCCAGGGATGGGGTGAGCACAAGGGGCAGCCTCGGTGCTGTGCAAACGCTTTTCAATGAAAACCAGAACATCAGCGTGCTACCAACACTGCTGTGGTGTGTTGATATCCGAAATGCAGCACTGGATGAGCTGCAGGGAAGGCAGCTTCTATTCCTTCACCGTGTTTAAGCAACGTGCCGAGCTCTCTGAGCCGTGTTCAGGTGTGGGACAGTCTCCAAGTACTCACGCTGCGATAGGAGCAGGCCGGATGGGGCAACACCACGCGGTGCACGCTCTGCACGGTGACCAGCAGCACGACCAGGTGGCTCTGCACCTCGCAGATGTGCACGCCGCCCGGCAGCAGCGGGCAGCCCTGGATGCGCAGCCGCACGGCGTTGTTCAGCAGCTCGTTGTCCAGGGACTCCTCCACCAGCTCCAGCGTGTCCCCTGATGTCATCCTGAGGGGAAAGAGGTTTGGGGTGAGGGGAGGACCGAGATGAGGGCAGGTAGGGACAGGGAGGGGAGCCAGGGGCCCTCACATGCCCCCCTCTGACCCTAATCACCCCAAAGCTCAACTCTACCTGCCCCAAAGCCCCCTACATACCCCCCCCTCTGACCTTAACTGCCCCAAAGCCCCCCTCATCCCCTCAACCCCCCCCAAGCCTACCTGCCCCAAAGACCCCCACATACCCCACTCTGACCCTACCTGCCCCAAAGCCCAACCCTTCTTGCCCCAAAGCACCCCCCCAGATACTATCAGCCCCAAAGCCCCCTCACACCCCCATCCAACCCCACCTGCTCCAAAGCCCCCTCATGCCCCCCTCCAACCCTACCTGCCCCAAAGCCGACCCCTTCTTGCCCCAAAGCCCCCCTAGATGCTATCAGCCCCAAAGCTCCCTCATACCCCCCTCTGACCATACCTACCCCAAATCCCAACCCCTCCTACCCCAAAGCCCCCCCATCCTCCCCTCCATCCCTACACATCCCAAAGCCCCCTCCACATCCCCCCAGCTGCTCCCTGCCCCAAAACCCGCCCCTACCTTCCCCAACCCCCCCCTCATCCCCTCAGCCCCCCCCCCTTCCCCTCACTCACCACCTGACGAAGCGGTTCCTGGTGGCGGCCCCCAGCTGCGCGCACTCCCGGTAGCAGAACCCTCCGGCGCTGTCCCCGTAACGCCCCAGGGGAAGCGGCGAGGTGCCGGGGGGGCTGAAGGCCACCTCCCGCCACCGCCTCGGCGGGGCCCGGGCCGCGGGGCCCAGCTCCAGGCAGCTGCGCTCCGCCAGCCCCGCCGCCATCTTGTCGGCCGCCTTCCCGCCCGAGCCGCGCGGGGCACCACGGGAAATGGAGGACGAGGGGGGAGGGGGCGTGGCCTAAAGGGAGGGGGCGTGGCTAAGCGGAGCGAGGCAGAGAGCGGGGTGGGCGTGGCTTCGGGAAGTGGGCGTGGCTTCGAGGCAGAGTGGGCGTGGCTTGATGAGAAACGGGCGTGGTTTACGACAAAATGGGCGTGGCTTGAGGGTGAATGCGAATGGTTTAGATGCGGAGTGGGCGTGGCTTAGAGCCCTAGTGGGCGTGGCCTGGTGATGAATGGGCGTGGCTTGGTGATGAATGGGCGTGGCTTAGCAGCTGAATGGGCGTGGTTTGGCTCCGAATGGGCGTGGCCTCGCCGCGGAGGCCCCGCCCCTCGCCCCCTCCCCGCTCCCCCCGCCCCCCTCCCTTGGCGCTGCCCCCACGCGTGTCCGCGCCCCCCCCCCCCCCCCCTTCCCACCACCCCCCCCTTTGGGTGCCGCACCCCGGGGTGCCGGGGCCGGGCGGGGCGGGCGCTGCCGCTGTCCCCGCCCCCGGGGCTCGCCCGCCGCTTCCTGCGGGCACGGCCGGGACGGGGCGGCGGCGGCGGAGCGCGGGGGGTGAGTGCGCGGGGAGGGGGTCCCCGTGGGGAGGGGTGTGTGGGGGGGGGGTTTTGGGGTGCCCGGGGCACGCCGTGCTCGGGTTTGGGGCTTTTGGGGTCTTGGGGTGCTCGCCCTGTGGGGCTGTGCTGCCTGGGTTCCGGGCTGGGGGGCCCCGTGGGGATGGGGACTGGGGGTCCGTGGGGTGCCCAGCACCGGGGGTCCCCGTGGGGTTGGGGTCTGTGGGTGCAGGGGGTGCCTGGAGCCGTGGGTGCCCGTAGGGATGGGGGCTGGGGGTCCCACGCACTTTGAGCTACCAAGGGAGTAGGGGTTGTGGACCCCACGGTGCTGTGGGGTGGGAGCTGTGGGGTCCTGTGGGGCTGGGGGCTGGGGGTCGTGGGGTGCCCGAGCGCTGTGGGTCCCATTGGGAAGGGATCCGCGGGTCCCCAGGGGCTGGGGGTGACGGGGAGTCCCGTGGGGACGGGGCCCCGCTGCGCCGCCCCGCCGGTGCCCCGCGTCTGTGGGGCCGCCGGAATCCTGGAAAAAGCCTGGAAATGGTGAAAGCGCCTGCCCTTATATGGCTCCGGCGGGATCTCCCGCCTCCGGCCGGCCACAGGCCTGGGAACGCGCCGTGGGCCGTGCCCGGCTCCCACGCAGGATTTTCCCCCTGCCTCAGTTTCCCCCTCCCGGCGGCCACCTTTGGGATCCGGCATTTCGGGGCCCGGCGGGGGGCACCCGGCTCAGCCCCGTGGGTTGCGGGGCGCAGCCCCCGCTCGGGTCGGGGTTAATCTCGGCGCCGAGGCTTTGGCGGCACCGGGAGAGGGGGGGCAGGATAACCCCCCCATGACGCTGGCCCCGCGCCCTAATCCCGGCGCTGAGCGGATTAGGGCGGCCGGGGGCGGGCGATGGTGGCCGTGGGGCTGGGAGCCACGGCGGCCTGGGGCTGCCAGGGGGGTATTTGGGGAGCTTGGGGGGCCCCGAATCCCAAAACTCCCTCGAGCGACGGGTGCCCCACGGCCGTGCCAGCTGCCCCGGTGGGCTGTGGGGGGCACGGTGCTGGGTTTTGGGGGGCTCCCTGTCTGCCCGTGGAGGGCGGCGGCGGCAGGATGCGGCCATGCGGCACGGCGGGCGCGGGAGGAGTCGGAGGGAACCGGCTGGACTGGTTCAGGTCCCGTTTCCCCCCCCCTACACCGCTACCGGGAACGGGAATGGGGGGGTCCGGGTGGCCCCGGCACCGCCACCGGCACGTGGCCCGGCTCAAGGTCGCCCGCCGCCCGCCGGCACCGTCCTTCCGCCAGGAGCCACGGCCCTCGCCGTCTGGGCTCGCTTCCTGCCCCGGTGCCACCTCGGTGACCCGGCACCGAGCTCTCCGCCGAGGTGCCCTACGGCTCACTGGGTCACCCCGGGGTCTCCGCTCGCCCCCAGCCCCCGGGGATGCCGGTGCCCGCCTGCCCGCAGCACCCTGCCCTCGGCGAGGTGCCGGCGGCTCCCACCCGCGGCATGGAGGAGGAGGAGGAGGAGGAGGCGGCGTGCGACGGCGAGGAGCCCTGGCTGGCCAACAGCAACAACAACGCGGCCCCGGGGGGGCGGCCGGGGGCGCAGGGCGTGCGCCCCCTGGGCCAGGAGCCCTCGTACCTGCAGCGCGTGCTGCTGGAGATCGTGGAGTCGGAGCGCACATACGCCCGCGACCTGCGCGGCATCGTGGAGGTGGGGGCACCGTGGGGATGGGGGGGGGATAAGGGGGGAGGTCTCGGGCCCTTGGGTGGCACTGAGCAGCGGCTGCGTGGGCACACAGGGCTACCTGGGGAAGATCATCGACGCCGAGGAGCCGCCGCTGCGGCCGGAGCAGGTCAGCGCGCTTTTTGGGAACATCGAGGACATCTACGAGCTCAGCAGGTGAGTGGCACACGTGGTGGCACCGTCCCCTCCCTGTGATGTGGTGGTGGTGTGGGGGGCTCCGGTTAACCCCCCCATCCGTCCCTTGCACCCAGCAACCTGCTGCAGAGCCTGGAGAGCTGCGCCTGCGACCCGGTGGCCGTGGCCGTCTGCTTCGTGACGCGGGTACGGGGATGCGGCGCCGGGGCAGGGGGGGGGCACGTGGCAGGGGCCGTGCCGGGCTCTCACCGTGCCCCCCCCCCACTACTCACAGAGCCAGGAGTTCGACATTTACACGCAGTACTGCAACAACTACCCCAAGTGAGCGGGCGCCGCGGGGCTGGGCGTTATGGGGAGCTGTGGGGTTGGGCGCCGTGGGGCTGAGCACCCCCTGGTGCTGTGTCCCCCCCCCCCTCTCCAACTCCTCCCCAGCTCGGTGGCGGCGCTGAGCGAGTGCATGAGGAGCAAGCAGCAGGCGCGCTTCTTCCGCGAGTGCCAGGAGCAGATGCGGCACGCGCTGCCGCTGGGCGCCTACCTGCTGAAACCCGTCCAGAGGATCCTCAAGTACCACTTGCTGCTCCAGGTGAGCCGGCACGGCGCGGCACGGCGTGGCACGGCACGGCACGGGTACCCAGCGTGGTTGGGACCGCGTGGCACAGCGTGGGGCACGGCACGGGTACCCGGCACGGCAGGGTGGGAGCTGGCAGCGTGGGCACTCGGCGCGGCGCGGTGCGGCTCGGTGCCACGGCGTGCCCCCCCCGTGCCCGCAGGAGATCGCCAAGCACTTCGAGCGCAAATCGGGGGATGACTACGAGGTGGTGGTGGAGGCCATCGACACCATGACCTGCGTGGCGTGGTACATCAACGACATGAAGCGCAAGCACGAGCACGCCATCCGCCAGCAGGTGGGCCATGGGGAAAGGGGCACGGCGCACGGCGGGGGTGGCGAGGCCGGGTAGGGGCTGCGGTGACGCCGCTGTCCCCGTGTCCCCGGCAGGAGATCCAGTCGCTGCTGCTGCAGTGGAAGGGGCCGGACCTGACCAGCTACGGGGAGCTGGTGCTGGAGGGCACCTTCCGCGTGCAGCGGGCGCGCAGCGAGCGCGCAGTCTTCCTCTTCGACAAGCTGCTCCTCATCACCAAGCGCCGCGGGGACCACTACGTCTACAAGAGCCACATCCTGGTGGGTGCTCGCCCCGCTGGGAGGGAGGGGAGGTGGGGAGGGGGTTTTGGGGTTGAGGGGGGCACCGCGGGGCTGATGGTGTCTCCGCGCAGTGCTCCTCGCTGATGCTGATCGAGAGCACGCGGGACTCGCTCTGCTTCAGCGTGGCGCACTACAAGCACATCAAGCAGCAGTACGGCCTGCAGGTAGGGTGCTGTGGGGTTTGGGGGGGCACGGGGGACCCCTGCCCGCGCCCACCACCACCCCACCACCACCCCCAGGCCAAGAGCGTGGAGGAGAAGCGCGTCTGGACCCACCACATCAAGCGGCTCATCCTGGAGAACCACCACGCCATCGTCCCCCAGAAGGTGAGGACACCCCGGCGTTGTCCCCCTGCCTTTCTTAATTTTATTTTCGGGTGTGGGGGAGGCAGGGGGGGTGACACCCCCTTGGGGACACCGCCTCTCACCGCCTCTCTCTGCGCCAGGCCAAGGAAGCCATCCTGGAGATGGACTTGTTCCGTGAGTGCCCCCACCCCTCCACCCCTTCACCCCCATCCTATATCCCTGCGCCCCCACCCCACGTCCCTGTGCCCCCATCCCATGTCCCTGTGCCCCCTTGTCACCCCCCTGTGCCCACAGACCCCCCGCGCCTGCCCCGCTACAGCCCCGAGCGCCTGCACCGGAGCCGCTCCTGCCAGCCTCTGGACCAGCCACGCCACGGCCGCCGGCAGTCGGGTGAGCCCCCCCCCGGTGGCACCGTGTCCCCCCCGCGGGGACGGTGCCGTGCTGACGCCTGTGTCCCCCCCCCACGCCGCCCCGCAGAGCCCTTCGAGTGCCGCGACCGCGCCGAGACGCTGCCGGACCGGCTGCAGGGGCACGCGGGGCGCCGGCAGTCGGGTGCGGATGGGGATTGGGGTTGGGGTGCGTTTTTTTTTTTGGGAGGGGGTGTTAGGGGCACGGGGATGATGCCACCGCCCTGCTGTGACATCCCCGTGTGTCCCCCCGCAGAGCCCGCCAAGCAGATCCTGCGGCAGCTGGGTGAGCACGGTGAGCGGCTGGGGGTGACATCAGGAGGGGGGGGGCAATTTTGGGGTGCTGCCCCCCCCCCCCCCCAAAGCTCACCTCTGCTCTTCTTCCTCCCCCCACACACACGGCTGGCAGGGCTTAAGGTAAGGCCAGGGCACGGGGTGGTGTGGGGCTGACCCCTGTGAAGGTGCTGAGCCCTCGTGTCCCCCCACAGCACGCAGGCAGTGAGGGGACCCTCCTGGAGGCGGGGGAGCCCCCACAGCCCCCCAGGGCCTGGGCTGCAGCTGGGGGCGTCGTGGAGGAGGAGGAGGAGGAAGAGGAGGAGGAAGAGGAGGCTTTGGGCAAGGACAGCCAGGAGGAGCAGGACGGGCACGGGGACAAGGATGGGGACGTGGCAGAGGAGCCCCAGGAGGAGCAGGTACCCGCACCGGACCCCCACCCCTTCCCCTGCTCCCTGCGGCACCCCGCATCACTTGTGGGGCACCCCAAAAGTGCCGTGGGGCACCGCACACCCCTCAGCTTCTGCTGTGCTGAGAGGGCAGGGGCACGGCCCCCCAAACTTTGCTCTCGCCAGGGGACCCCGGCAGGGAGCTGCGAGTGGCACCACGAGGTCGCCGCCACCCCGGCGTCACCGGTGTCCCCGCTGCGCACCGGGGAGCTCGGCGAGGGGACGGAGACCCCCGCGCCCCCCTCCCCATCGGGGACCCCCCCGCCGGGGCTGCCCGACGGGGAGGGCGACCCCGAGCAGCACCCGGATATGGAGGCGGGCACCGGGGAGGACCCGCGGGCGTTGAGCAGCGAGGAAGAGGAGGAGGAGGAGGAGGAAGGCCACGGGGAGGGCAGCATCCTGCCCCCCTCGGTGCTGGACCAGGCCAGCGTCATCGCCGAGCGCTTCGGCAGCAGCCTGTCGCGCCGTGGCAGCCTGGCGCTGGAGGGGCGCAGCGGCAGCACCCTCAGCCTCGACGGGCCCCCCCCGGATAGCGGGGCGCCCCGCAGCCCCCCGCCGTCCCCAGAACCCCCCCCTCCCACCCCCCGGCGCCGCTCGCTCCTCTCCACCCAGGACCTGCTGCTGCTGCGCAAGATCCGGAGCTACTACGACAACGCCGAGCACCAGGACGCCGGCTTCAGCATCAAGCGCCGCGAGAGCCTCTCCTACATCCCCAAGGGGCTGGTGAGGACCTCGGTCTCCAGAATCAACAGCTGGCCACCCCCGGAGCCAGCGAGCCCCAAAACACCCCCGGAACCAGCGAGCCCCAAAACGCCTCTGGAACCAGTGAGTCCCAAAACACCTCCGGAGCCGGTGAGCCCCAAAACGCCTCCAGAGCCGGTGCTGGCGGTGGATGGAGCACCCCCTGCGTGCCAGGAGAACGGGCTGCAGCCCCCCGCCGAGCCGCTGCTCATCAGTGGAGGAGGGCGACGTTGGTGCCTGGGGACCCCCCGGGGGTGCTGGCACTTGGGAGCCCCCCCGGGCGCCCCGCCACCAGGGTGTACCAGCTGGCCCGCCAGTACAGCCTGCGCATCAAGAGCCGCCGCCGCCGCGCTGGCCTTCCGCTCGGGGACAGTGCCACCCACACCAGCACCCCAGGTGGGACACTTTGGGATCGGGGGGACCACGGGCACCGTCACCTTGCCACCACCCCGCTCTCACCCCTCTCTTTTTTCCCCCAGGTTTGCCCAAGCCACCCGTGTCCCCAGGGGACTCCGTCACCCCCACGGTGTCCGGTGCCCCCCGCAGCCCGCCCAGCCCCGGCGGTGGCGGCACCGAGCCCTTCTCCTGGCCAGACGTGCGGGAGCTGCGTGCCCGTTTCGGCGCCCCGCGGCCACCGCCGGTGACCCGCAGCCGCTCGGCACCTGAGGGGCCGGGACGTGGGGGGCGTCCGGCGGCCAAGGAGCGGGGTGGGGGCCGCAGCCGCAGCGCTGAGGCGGGCGTGGGGACCCCCGACCCATGGCGCGGTGCTGGTGGCGGTGGTGGCCACCATCACCACCACCAGCAGCAGCCCGGGGGGCTGTGGGTGACGGCGCAGGCACCCCTGGGCCCCGGGGGGCAGCGGGTGGTGGTGCTGGAGAGGCTGCCCCCCCCTGCTGCCACCGAGCCCCCCGCCTACGTGCAGATCCGCTCGCCCACCACCCGCGAGAAGATCTGCCTGAAGGCGGTGGTGGAGCGCTGCAAAGCCTACCAGGCTTCCGAGGAGTACCGGCGGCGCTGCCCCCCCGGGCAGGGTGAGCCCCCCGAGCCTCCCCGGCACGGCCTCGTCAGGGACCTGCGGCAGAAGTTTCAGACCCTCGACGCCGCCAGCTAGGGGGGGCAGCTGGGAGATGGGGCGCCCTGTGGATCCCCAGGAGATGGGGCACCCCATGGACCACCAGGAGATGGGGCACCGTGTGGACTACTGAGGGATGGGGCACCCCAAAAATCCCTGGGAGATGGGACACCCCATGGACCACCAGGAGGTGTGGCACCCCATAAATCCCCGGGAGATGGGACACCCTGTGGACCACCAGGAAATGGGGCACCCCATAAATCCCCAGGAGATGGGGCACCCCATGGATCCCCAGGAGAAGGGGCATCCTGTGGACTACTGAGAGATGGGGAGGCTCCAGCTCACCCAGGACAAGGGGCACCCCGTGGACTCACAGCTCACCTGAAAGAAAGAGCCCCCCATGGCCCCCAAGGAGGTGGACACCCGATGGAGCCCAGCTTGCCCAGGAGATGGGGCACCCCCGGGCCACCAGGAGATGGGCAACTGGACCCCAAGAAGAAGGGGCACCCCGTGGTCCACCAGGAGACTGGACTCCCCCTGGCCCCCACCCCGCCTGCCAGAAGGGCCCCCCCCCAAGCGCACAGCCCCGGGCCCGCCTTGCTTTGACATCTTTATTACAAAAAAGAAAAACCCAAACCGAACCCGAATTTCCTCTCCGCCCACCCACCCGTGCGCTCCCCCCAGGGACGCTCGGTCCGGCTGTGGGGGTGCAGGGGGGGGGCCCCAGCAGCACCGGGACCCCCACCCGCAGCAAGGGGACAAGCGTGGAGGGGAGGGGGCGCGCTCTTTGGTTGGTGCCCGTGGGGCTGGGGGGGAGGGGGGACACACGCTGGTGGGGGGCTTATGGCTTAGAAAAGGGGGCTGGAGGGGGGGCTGGGATGCGCCCGCGTGGGGTGGGTGCACGTGCATGCATGCGGGGCCACGCGTGTGCATAGACGTGCGTGCACCGACACCGGGGTGCGTGCATGCCCTTCAGCATGGAAAGAGATGTATATATATAAATATAAACGTATCTATGTATATATATATATATATATACACGCGTGCCGCGGTGTGGGTGCGGTGCTGCCCCCCCCCCAAGCCCCCCCTCTTCCCCATTTATTTCTTCTTGGGGAAGAAGCTGAAGCGCTTCTCCTTGTCCCGCCGGGGCGGGCCGGGCTCAGGGGGGGGCGCGGGGTGGGGGCAGGCTGCGTGCCTTGGCCGGCAGGGTCTGGCAGGAGGTGATGGCCGCGTGCAGCCCCTGCAGCCACGTCTGCATCTCCTCCTGGGGGGGGGCACGGGGCGGTCGGCACCCCCTGGCCCCTGCCGGGTGCCCTATGTCTTGTCCCACGAGTGCCAGACCCATGGTGGCCCTCTGGGTACCTCTGGCCACCCCGTGTCCCCTTGGATGCCCTGCGTGCCTCTGGGCACCACTGCTCATCCTTTGTCCCGTGGGGCACCTCTGGCCACCCCCGTGGCTCCTGGCCACCCCTGGCTGCCCCAATGTCCCCCTGGCCACCCTGCATCTCCCCAAGCATCAGCGGCCATCCCAACATCCCATGGCTGCCCGTGTCCCCACTGGGCACCTCTGGCCACCCCAACGTTCCCCTTGGGGACCTCTGGCCACCACCACTTTTCCTGGCCACCACTGTGGCCCCTGGTCACCTCCCTTCTCCACAGAGCTCCACTGGCCATCCTTTGTCCCCTTGGGTACCTCTGGCCACCCCAACGTCCCCTTGCCACCCCCTGGCCCCCAGGGCACCCCTCACCTCATCCTTGCCGTGGAAGAGCCACTCGCTGCCGTTGCTGAGCCTGGGGTCAGAGCAGAGGGCGGTGAGACCCCCGCTGCCCCGCGCTGTGCCGTACCCATACCCGTGCCATGCTGCACCCACACCCTCTCCGTGCCATGCTGCGCCGTACCCATGCTGTACGGCGCTGTACCCGGGCCATACCTGAGCGTGAAGACGTGCTTCTTCTTCTTGTAGCCAGCGGCCACCTGGCAGCATGCATCGCGCAGCCCCAGGGGCTCCTCGCCCTGGCAGGGCACCCCCAGCGCCCGGCTCTTGGCGTCCTTGAAGAAGGCGAGCTCGCCGCCCCGCAGCACGCAGTACCGCGTGCTCCACGACCTGCGGGCAGCCCCGTCACTGCCAGGCTGCCACCGTGCCCCCTGCCCGCTTGGGGTGGCCGCCACGCCGTGCCTACCTGTTGGATGCGCGCTTGGTGGCCGCCTCCAGGTCGTGCTTGCGGCCCAGGTAGCCCTCGAGCTGGACGCGGGCCGGCTGGGCGGGCAGCGTGGCCACCTCCTCCCGCGGCACCGTTGCCGGCTCCTCCTCGCCCTGGGCCGGCTGCCACGAAGCAACAGCCACGTCACAGCCCGTCCCCGTGGGTGTCACCCGCTGTCACCTCCCCGCTTCGCCAAGCCACGTCCCCGGGGTGTCCTCCCCTCCCCTCTGTGCCACCCCTGGGCATGGTGGCACCGGTGGTGTCCCCCCGTGGGGACGCACAGAACCCAAGCGCCGATGCCAGGAGCAGGCACCCCCAGTGCTCAGTGACAGCAGCGCTGCACAGGGAAACTGGTGGCCACCAGGAGCTGGTGTGGGGACCCCTGAATGTCCCCCAAACCAGGGCTCAGGGACAGTGGTGCGTGGCAGATGGGATGCCCAGGGTGAGGCTTTGGGCAGGGTGCAGAGCGCGGTGATGCCACAGCCCCCTCGTCCTTCATGTGGGGACAGTCCCAGCCCCTTGGTGTTGGTGGCAGTGAGCCAGGGCCACGTGGAGCTTCTGCGGTGTGCCCCACCAAGGTGGGCAGGAGGAAGGAGGCTGTCCCCAAGCAGCCAGAAGGTGGCTGTGTCCCCAAGGAGGCAGGAAGAGGAAGATTGTGTCCCCAAGCTGGCAGAAAGCAGTCTTGTCCCCAAGCAGGCAGAGGGGGACCCTGTCCCCAAGGAGCTGGAAGATGCCCATGTCCCCGAGCAGCAGAAGTGATCTTGTCCCCCAGCAGAAAGTTGGGGATCCTCTCCCCAGAAAAGCGACCTTGTCCCCAAGGAGCCAGGAGATGTCCCCAAGCAGGCAGGAGAGACAGAAGGGGGTGCTGTCCCCGAGCACAGAACAACCAGAAAGCAAATCCTGTCCCCAGGCAGGCGGGAGGAGCGCAGAGGGGGGCAGCGAGCACGAGGTGATGGTGCCAGAGGGGGGCAATACCCTGTGGGGTGACGACGTCCTGCAGGGTGACCCCCACGGGGTGGCGATGCCCCATAGGGTGACAATGCCTTGTAGGGTAGCGATGACAGCTCCAGAGGGTGGCAATGTCCCATAGGGTGGCGATGCCCCATAGGGTGGCGATGCCTTGCACGGTGACACCCCCAGGGGGTGATGGTGCACCACGGGGTGACGGTGCCTCGCAGGGTGACAACGCCTTGCAGATCAGCAATGTCCCTGGGGGTGACGATGCCCCTCGGAGTGATGCCACCCCTCGGGGTGACGATGCCTTGCAGATCAGCGATGCCCCTTGGGATGACGATGCCTCGCAGGGTGGCATCCCCATGGGGGCAGCGATGCCCCTGAGGACACGAGCCAGAGAGCTGATACAGGCGCATCCGTCCATCCAGCAGCACCGTGTCCCCGTGTCCCCAAGGAGCCAGCTGTCCCCTCCGTGCCAGGACAGAGCCAGCTCCGCTCCCAGCGCTGGGACAGCCGGGTGCCAGGTGGTGGTGGCCATGCCGTGCGGTGTCCCTGTGACTTGCAGGTGTCTCCTGGGACAAACGCCGCTGGGGACCTGCCTGCTCCGGGGTGGCCAGCTCCGAATTTGCCCTGTGCCAGCCTCCACCATCCCCAGCCTCACCCCGGGGCTCCCAGCCACCACGGGGACACACGCCGTGGCACAGGGGAAGGCGCTGCCCTTTGGCCCGCCCATTTTTTTGGGGGTCATTCAACATTTATTCAACTCAGCGCGAGGAACAACGCGAGGGGTCACGGCCGTCCCCGGTGTGGGACGGGAGGGAGAGCGAAGGGAACGGGGCCGGGAGCCATCGGCGCGGGCGCATCCAGGGGCAGCGGTCAGCGTGGTGGGGCCATGCAGGGGGGGACATTCCTGGTGCTGGGGAAGGAGAAAAGCTAAAAGCCAGAACTGACCGGTTGGAGCCCATCGGTGGTAGGCGGAGAGGTGTCCTGCGGCGTCACCCCCTTCCTCTTCTCATCCTCTTCCTCCGATCTAGGGGAGGGAGGTGCTCAGCATCCCAAAGGACGGAGGTGGGCATTGGGACGCCCCCAAAATCCCCACTGGAGACAGCCCAGGGGGAAACTGCCTGCAGGTGGCCACCTGGGGACACGGTGCCCGCAGCCCTTACCCTGCCTCCAGCTCAGCATCCAGATCCAGGCGATATTCGGGAGCGGCGTCATGCGTCACCTCCTCATCCCGCAGCGTCCGCCCGCCCAGGAGCTCCAGCTGCCAGGGAAGGGGATGCAGGTGTTGGGGGGACACCCAGCCGCGTCCCCCCACCACCACCCACGGGGCCACCCGAGCTTTTCCTCACCGTGGTCAGCTTCCTCAGGGCGGCGATGCGTTCCTCCCAGGTGGCCGTGGACTTCTCGAAGGCTTCGTGCCGCTTGAGCAGCTTCTCCACCCCGTCCACCGTCTGCCCGTAGTCGCTGCTGGCCAGGTAGGGCTCCTGCGCCACCAGCCACGACTCGGCCACCGAGGCGTCCCTGGAGAACTGGCACACCTCCAGCACTGCGGGCAGCAGGGGCAGAGCGCTCAGCAGCCGCCTGGGGGGGTCCCACTAACCCCAGACACCCCCCCTGCTCCCCAGCCTGGGCTGAGGTCAACTGCATGAAGTTCAACAAGGCCAAGTGCCGGGTCCTGCACCTGGGGTTGTTAGACAACCTTTACCAAGAGGGTTGTTAGGCACTGGAACAGGCTGCCCAGGGAAGTGGTGGAGTCACCATCCCTGGAGGTCTTTAAAAGACGTTTAGATGTAGAGCTTAGGGATATGGTTTAGTGGGGACTGTTAGTGTTAGGTTAGAGGTTGGACTCGATGATCTTGAGGTCTCTTCCAACCTAGAAATTCTGTGATTCTGTGATTCTGTGAACCTGGCCATCACCACACTTACGCAGCCGCAGCCGGTCCCAGCGCTGCTGCCACAGCTCCATCATGGCCTTCCTCTTGTCCAGCAGCTCCATCAGCTTCGCCTTGATCTGCAAAGGGCGGCTGTCACCAGGGAAGGAGGGGGTTCATCCCCACTGCCCACCCTCCCCTTCCATCCAGGGGCTGTCCCCACCTCGGGTGACTCCTGGTGCTTGCGCTGCAGCAGCTTCTTGCCCAGCTCAATGCAGGTGGTGAAGTTCTTACTGCGTGCGTCTATCTCGGCGTGGATGCCCTGGTGGTACTTCATGAGCAGCTCCACCGAGGAGACGTCCCTGGGGGCAACGAGGGGATGAGCGGAGACGTGGGGGGCTCAGCACCATGCCGGTGGGCAGAGGCACGGCGCCCCGACCCTTCCTCTCCTACCTGGGCTTCTCCTGCGTCTGGATCTGCCTCGTGGTGCTCTCCATCCAGGAGAGGAGGTCGCGCGCCATGCTGAAGAAGCGGAACTTGTCGGCCGTGTCCACCAGGCGCGCCCGGCGCCCGCTGCACGCCTCCAGCAGCGCCCGCAGCGCCCGC